CTACCACCCTGCTTCACTACCACCTTGTTTCACCACCACCCTGCTTCACTACCTCCTTGCTTCACTACCTCCCAGCTTCACCACCACCCTGCTTCACTACCTCCTTGCTTCACCAACACCCAGCTTCACCATCACCCTGCTTCACCATCACCCTGCTTCATCACCTCCCTGCTTCACTACCACCCTGCTTCACTACCACCTTGTTTCACCACCACCCAGCTTCACCACCACCCAGCTTCACTACCTCCTTGCTTCACTACCTCCCAGCTTCACCACCACCTTGCTTCACTACCTCCCAGCTTCACCACAACCCTGCTTCACCACCTCCCAACTTCACCACCACCCAGCTTCACCACCACCCAGCTTCACTACCTCTCTGCTTCACCACCACCCAGCTTCACCACCAGGTGACCAACGTCACATTTGAAGCGGTTCAACCTCGACAGAAGCGTAGGAAACGACGCGTCCTAAGACCTCACTACGCTCTCGCCAGCGTTCTCAGCGTCAAGAAACTGTCGGACTGAAGTGCCCTAACCTAACCTACCAGAGGACCCACCAACAGAAAACGGGAACATTGTGTCAATGTCGCGAGCCTTTATGTCAATGTTTGGTGGAAGCTCGACGCTGTAAATGCTTCACCCACGTACTACAAATACAAATAATAGGCAACAGAAGCTAAACACCTAACCTAACCTGTGTCTAAATAGGTACGATATGGTAATATCAAATAATATTAATATATATGTGAATGAATAGAATGTTAAAATTGATGCATGTGTCTTTTGGGGTCGACCGCTGGATGGAATGGACTTGGTGTGAGGACGGGTTGGGTAATGTATCTTTATCAGACTATACTGAACAGCTCGTCCTCATCAACACATCAAATCTCGTTAATCCGCCCACCTGTTCTCAGGCCAGGCTCGTTCAAGCGGCCGCTATGCCCATAGACCCATTCATCAATGATTACGTAAAGTGTAGTAAAAGTTTGTTTTTATATAAATAATAATATTATTACAAATTAAAGTTGTGCGCATAGGCCTAGATCAGATTACATTAGATGTTTCGGTTCTTTTGGCGATTATCTGTGTGTGTAGTATGTGGGTGAAGCATCTACAGCGTTGTGGTTCGAACAGCGGTCGTCAGCGAAGCACTGTTCGAAAAATGCCGAAACGTAATCAGTTCATTTATAAACATTAAGGGAGTTGGGGGGGGGGGAGAGGGTGAAGTTGGCGGCTGCGTGGAGTCACTTTCGGCCGCTCATGATCAGGACTAGTTGTAAAATTGACGAATCCGTGTCTGGGGGGTCGTCCGCCGCTTTAACGAGCCTAGCGCGAGGACCGGTTGCTACCCCAGCGAATGGTCAATGACCATTCACCCGGGCCTTCTCCAACCTTGACTCAAGTTATCCCCTCACCCAGGGGGGAGGGAGGGGGGGGGTAGGTAGACTACCGGTGGTGACTGTGCATCTTTAGTTGTGCTTGTGATGGTCCTGTTATCTTACATTCCCTCAAGAATGACATTAGTTATCTTCCTCAGCACCTCATTAATGAGGTCTGCCGGCAGTAATGAATGTTCTTAGAGTATATAATTGTCAATTACCCATTTCTGTGATGGTGGCCGCGATAAGTGTTGTATTTTGTAAGATTTATTTGGACCAGCACCAGTTAGCACGGTCCCTACGGTGACAGGACCAGTTAGCACGGTCCCTTACGGTGACAGGACCAGTTAGCACGGTCCCTACGGTGACAGGACCAGTTAGCACGGTCCCTACGGTGACAGGACCAGTTAGCACGGTCCCCTACGGTGACAGGACCAGTTAGCACGGTCCCTACGGTGACAGGACCAGTTAGCACGGTTCTTACGGTGACAGGACCAGTTAGCACGGTCCCTACGGTGACAGGACCAGTTAGCACGGTCCTTACAGTGACAGCCCCGGGTACTGTGTTACAGTGACAGTCCCGGGTACTGTGTTACAGTGACAGTCCCGGGTACTGTGTTACAGTGACAGTCCCGGGTACTGTATTACAGTGACAGTCCCGGGTACTGTGTTACAGTGACAGTCCCGGGTACTGTATTACAGTGACAGTCCCGGGTACTGTGTTACAGTGACAGTCCCGGGTACTGTGTTACAGTAACTTACAGTGACAGCCCCGGGTACTGTGTTACAGTAACTTACAGTGACAATCCAGGGTACTGTGTTACAGTAACTTACAGTGACAGCCCCGGGTACTGTGTTACAGTAACTTACAGTGACAGCCCCGGGTACTGTGATACAAATCTCTCATGTGTTATACAAATGCTAAAGTCTATGGACTCGGCACTGAACATTTCACATTGGCAGACTTGGTCAAGGAGGGTCATGGGGGCAGTGCTCTCAAGGAAGGGATGTCACGGCTGACCCCGACCCCCCCCCCCTCATGTCACGGCTGCCCCTCCCCCCCTCATGACACTCCCGGTAAGATCACTAACCCTGCACAGTTTAGTGAAGCTAGCCATAACCTTCTGGCCTCTATCCGCGAACACACTCCCTTACAGATATATTGTATAGAGGCCGATGGATATCCTCTGATATATATATTGTGCCGAGGGTGACATGCTTCCTATAGGGTGTCAAGCTTCCTATAGGGTGTCAAGGGTGATGGAAACGTCCTTATATATTTCCTATATTGTGCAAAGAAATAGTCACAGCCGATACCACAAAGGGTCCAAAATATTCAGAATTTTTCTCTCAAGTGGAGCAGTGTGGCTATCTATCACACACGGGAGATGAATCTTTCAACACAGCTGACAGCTGGTTGATGGCCCGAGATGCTGTTGCCTCGCTGCTGCTGCCGCTGCTGCCGCCGCTGCTGCTGCTGCTGCTGCTGCCGCTGCTGCTGCTGCTGCTGCTGCTGCTGCTGTTGTTGCTGCTGTTGATGCTGCTGCTGCTGCTGCTGCTGCTGCTGCTGCTGTTGTTGCTGCTGTTGATGATGCTGCTGCTGCTGCTGCTGCTGCTGCTGCTGTTACTGCTGCTCCTGCTGTTTCTGATGCTGTTGCTGCTCCTGCTGCAACAGGGGATTCTCACACACACCACAGTGAGAACCCTACAGTCATCGGAGGGTAACGAGAACCAGCATCGACAAGCGTTCACAAGCATCTAATTTGTCATAAGATGATTTGAGATGCTTCGCCGACTCTAGAAATAGTTACGGATGGCATCCGGCAGTAGGATGTGAGCCCGGGAACTATCCTCTTCGCAAATGGATCCGTCGAGGCTGTGCAAACAGAAGGGTGAGGGATTGGCAAGTCTCAGCGGACGTGAGGTGGACCCACTGGAAGACTTCGTCGCTAGGAAGGGGGACGTCTAGCCGTGTGCAACAACGACTAGGAGACAGACCCAGGAGCTACACACACTGACGGTATGGTCTACTGGTACCCTGAGGGTAACGGCCAGTAGCGTCTCAAAGTGAACTGTAAGCAACAGTGAGGGACGAGAGTGGGTGTCCCTGGGCCCGAGAGGTAGACCCAGTTATATTGAGACAGTTATTTATGCGGCAACAGTGAGGGACCGGAGCAGATGTCCCTGGGTGACCAGAGGTCGACCCATCAAGTGAGATAGTGATATTTTATGTAGCAGCAGGTGAGAGGGCAGTGAAGGCCCCAGAGTGATTAGGTAGAGTCGGCTCTTTCACAATAACAGAGGGCAGAATTAAAGGCGGTCAAGAGTTAGAGTCCCGGGTGATCGGAGCCTCGGGTCAGAGGTTTGAACCCCAGGCAAATGTGGTGAGTCAGATGTGTCAAATTGTTGTCAAAATCGTTGTCAGATGTGTCAAATTGTGTCAGAATTGTTGTCAAGATGTGTCGAAATGTCAAATGTGGTCAGGCAAAAAAAGGTGAGGGTTGGCCTGAACAAGGTAAGTGACTGAGTGGTGGAATTGTTGCCGAATACGAGGACCCACGAGTCAGGTGGGGCCCATGAGCAGCAGTCCAGGATGCTTGCTGTTATATCTGCGCCTGGGTTTACTGATATATATTGACACTGGACAGGACAGTGGATGGCCGGTTAATAGTTGCAAGGAGGAAATATATAAAATTTTCACGACACTGGAATCTCGATTGAGCGGGCGACCCGGAGGTGGTTTCCAGTGGTCTCCAGCAATAGTGCGTGCAATGACATTAAGTACAAATGTGATTTTTTGTGTTGCTGAACTACATTTGGGAAGGAAGGAAACTATGAGGGAGAAAGCGCCAAGCCATTACAACTATATAGCACTGGGAAAGGGTCAGGATGAGCAGTAGGCATGGGACGGGGGTAAGGAATGGTCCCCAAGAACTTGGACGGTCGGGAATTGAACGCCGACGTGCATGAAGCGAGACCGTCGCTCTACCGTCCATCCCAAGTGGTTGGGTACTACATTTGGGAGTGACAGGATATTTTTTTGTATAGAGCTTGGCGAGGGGCTTCTGTAGACACCCCACAAGCTTACATCAGCATAATTATATACCCAAAAACCAAGTAGCCTAATATCCCAGACTATGAATGATATTCTTTATTTTGAGATAAAATGATATTAGTGTAGGAGTAATGTTTCGTGTCAATGTTGTAAAGCTCGAATAAGATATTATTTCTCCTTACCTTGACGTCTGTGGCAAGGGATCAGTTGAGCAGTGTCAGAAACACCTAACGCTAATAAACTACAGGCAGTAGAACAGAAGAGCAGGGTAAAGCCAACATACAGAGTGTCTTGGTGACTTCAGGCCGTTGGTAACTGATTCTCCCAGACCCTGACTATAGCCTGCAGGCGAAGAGATAGTTGTCGCCCTCTCACAGGTGTTTTTTTTTCCTAGGCGAGGCCTCTCTCCGGTATAAGAAGAGCCCAGTACTGGACATTTGAGGTCCTGTCCAACCCGGATAGACGCCCACTCTACTCTACAATGTATGCTCAACAAGAGAGGTCCCAGGACTCCACCTTGTATTATGTACACGAACAATACACAAGAACACTATGTTGGCACTGTACCTTGCATGATGTACACGCGAGTTGTCGTGAGGTGTGAGAGTGACGATGCCGTAGTCGGAGCCTGGGAGACAACTGACGACGCAAGAACAGTGCGGGCGGCCTCTGATGGAACCGTCGCTAATGACAAGCTCGGGACGGGGCTAGAGGACGGGAGAAGGGGAGAGGCTGCTTCAGGGAAGGTGGACAACACAGAGGAGTGGGGGACAGAGGCTGGTAAAACGGTAGAGGCGAGGGAGGCGGAGGCGGGTAACCCGGAGGCGGGATGTGAAGGTAACATACGAGACACTGTCCTGGCGAGGTCGACCTCCAGCTCCCGGCCGTGCACGCTGCGCCTGAAACACACCAAGCAGACGCCTGAGCAACACTACGGTACCTGGGACATACGTGTATACACAGCAGACTATCAGTACTTTCCTAACTTTAACAATGTGGGGGTTTACTATGCTACACACATTTCTAATGTCTCTTTGATGTTCACATTTGACTACTAAGAGAATGTGAACATCTAACAGACATTAGAAATATGTGTAGCATAGTAGACCCACTTTGAGTTAGGAAAATACTATCTGTCATATATAAATGCTGTTCTCAAACCAATTCCCCATTTGGCACCCGCAAGATAACGAAAGTTTATAAGGGTTGATAAATGTTAATCTTCTTGTTTGAGAAGCTGTTCACTTGAGACAGTTAAACTGAGCTATGTCTGGGTACAAGTGACAGGATTAACTACCCAGCGGGTTTTCTTCCTATCAGGGAGTGTTGTACATGATGCTTTGGGGGGGGGGGGGTGTCCACTCACAGGAAGAGTGGCGCTGCCCAATACACTCGTCCCTCGGGGCAAAACTTAAACTATCAATGACTGGAGGCATCAGTGGGATACATGGGGGCTTAAGGCTACTACCGGTGTTGACCTACACGAGACATTGTCTGCTTGAAACACTATGTATTTACATTATGTGCTCTTTTACACTATGCGCTTTTTTACATTATGTGCTCTTTTACACTATGTGCTCTTTTACATTATGTGCTCTTTTACACTATGTGCTCTTTTACATTATGTGCTCTTTTACACTATGTGCTCTTTTACACTATGTGCTATTTTACATTATGTGCTCTTTTACACTATGTGCTCTTTTACACTATGTGCTCTTTTACACTATGTGCTCTTTTACACTATGTGCTCTTTTACACTATGTGCTCTTTTACACTATGTGCTCTTTTACACTATGTGCTCTTTTACACTATGTGCTCTTTTACATTACGTGCTCTTTTACATTACGTGCTCTTTTACATTACGTGCTCTTTTACACTATGTGCTCTTTTACACTATGTGTTCTTTTACACTATGTGCTCTTTTACACTATGTGCTCTTTTACACTATGTGCTCTTTTACACTATGTGTTCTTTTACACTATGTGCTCTTTTACATTACGTGCTCTTTTACACTATGTGCTCTTTTACACTATGTGCTCTTTTACATTACGTGCTCTTTTACACTATGTGCTCTTTTACATTACGTGCTCTTTTACATTACGTGCTCTTTTACATTACGTGCTCTTTTACACTATGTGCTCTTTTACATTACGTGTTTTTTTACATTACGTGCTCTTTTACATTACGTGCTCTTTTACATTACGTGCTCTTTTACACTATGTGCTCTTTTACACTATGTGCTCTTTTACACTATGTGCTCTTTTACACTATGTGTTCTTTTACACTATGTGCTCTTTTACACTATGTGCTCTTTTACACTATGTGCTCTTTTACACTATGTGCTCTTTTACACTATGTGCTCTTTTACACTATGTGCTCTTTTACACTATGTGCTCTTAAGTGTCTCTATGTTCTTAGTATTGGATTTTTTCCTGCAAAAAAATACTAATAATCAATAACATAACAAGGAAATTACAAATAGCTGGTTTCACAATGTCGGGACAGGAAGCCTGTTTACCTTATCAAGTCGCCCTAAGGCCAATTAATCTTCCCCCAGGATGCAACACACAACAGATCCCTAACTCCAAGATATCCATTTACTGCTAAGTGAACAGCTGCATCAGATGAAAGAAAACGCGCCCAACCGTCTTTGTACTACAACGGGAATGGAACCCCTAGGGCCAGATTCACGAAAGCACTTACGCAAGCACTTACGAACGTGTACATCTTTCCTCAATCTTTGGCGACTTTGTTTACAATTATTAAACAGTTAATGAGCTCCGAAGCACCAGGAGGCTGTTTATAACAATAACAACAGTTGATTGGGAAGTTTTCATGCTTGTAAACTGTTTAATAAATGTAACCAAAGCCGTCAAAGATTGAGGAAAGATGTACACGTTCGTAAGTGCTTGCGTAACTGCTTTCGTGAATCTGGCCCCTGGACCTTCGGTTGTGAGTCGACAACGCTGTATACTGAAATGTTGCCGACAGCACTTTGTAAGTCATAAATTATTACACTGAATATTAGTCTTTCTTATAATGTGCAATATCTATGCAAAACTGGATACTATTTACATCTAAATGATGTTCTTACGAATATTGTCTTTTTTTCGTCTAAAACAAAGCAAAATTATGCAATGTGAGGATTGCAGGTATTTTAAAATTAAAATAACGTATGTCATTTCTTGCAATGTGTTTCATTTTATTTCTAAAAAGGTCAAATTCCGTCAGTAGTCTAAGGGGGACTCACCTTATTGTGAGGGAGAGGCAGAGTGAGAGCGATAGAACGAGTGAAAACAAGAGAGCGAGAGAGAACAAAGAGAGAGCGAGTGTGTGTGTGTGTGTGTGTACTCACCTAGTTGTACTTGCGGGGGTTCAGCTCTGGCTCTTTAGTCCCGTCTCTCAACTGTCAATCAACTGGTGTACAGGTTCCTGAGCCTACTGGGCTCTATCACATCTACACTTCAAACTGTGTATGGAGTCAGCCTCCACCACATCACTGCCTAATGCATTCCATTTGTTAACTACTCTGACACTGAAAAAGTTCTTTCTAACGTCTCTGTGGCTCATGTGGGTACTCAGTTTCCACCTGTGTCCCCTTGTTCGCGTACCACCCGTGTTAAACAGTTTATCCCTGTCTACCCTGTCAATACACCCGAGAATTTTGTAGGTGAATACAAATTCTAGATTCTAGAATATTCTAGAGAATACAAATTTCAGCATTTTAGTTGGTTCCAGTAGTTTAGATGTTTTACTGAGTGGATTCTAGCAGTGAAGGAACCACTGCCGAGGTTCGAAAGCCAATGTTTACCAGTGCACACAATCTGCCGATCATTGTACGCACAGGTCTCTATATGTGGGGTTCTTTGTACATAACAAACGTTTAATAGGGATTATATTTGATTGCTAATACGGTCAAGCAAAATCTAGTCTAACGGTAATAATATTAAATTATTTCATAGCTCATAACAATTATTAAGTCCCAAAACAATTAGTTCCCAAATAGTTATGTTCAATTTTGCTGAAAATAATTGAGCGTTGTGTGGCAACACTGCGGACTTGAGCGCTGTGTGTGGCAACACTGCGGACTTGAGCGCTGTGTGTGGCAACACTGCGGACTTGAGCGCTGTGTGTGGCAACACTGCGAACTTGAGCGTTGTGTGTGTGGCAACACTGCAGACTTGAGCGCTGTGTGTGGCAACACTGCGGACTTGAGCGCTGTGTGTGGCAACACTGCGAACTTGAGCGTTGTGTGTGGCAACACTGCGGACTTGAGCGCTGTGTGTGGCAACACTGCGAACTTGAGCGTTGTGTGTGGCAACACTGCGGACTTGAGCGTTGTGTGTGTGGCAACACTGCGGACTTGAGCGCTGTGTGTGGCAACACTGCGAACTTGAGCGTTGTGTGTGGCAACACTGCGGACTTGAGCGTTGTGTGTGTGGCAACACTGCGGACTTGAGCGTTGTGTGTGTGGCAACACTGCGGACTTGAGCGTTGTGTGTGTGGCAACACTGCGGACTTGAGCGTTGTGTGTGTGGCAACACTGCGGACTTGAGCGTTGTGTGTGTGGCAACACTGCGGACTTGAGCGTCAGCTGTGGAACGTAGATATAAAAAACTTCCATATGATGCAACCCGTTCTCGCAAATTTAATAAGTCAATATTGACTTATTAAATATGTGCATAGGTGACATACTTAACATAATAGATACCCTTAAAAATATTCATAGAAAACACCGACCTTACCTAACCTACTTAGTATGTTAAGATAAGCATCTTATTACTTCGTAATTACAATTATTACCTAACCTATAATAGGTATAGGTTAAGTAATAATTGTAATTACGAAGCAATAAGATGCTTATCTTAAGATACTAACAAGGTTAGGTAAGGTCGGTGTTTTCTATGAATCTTTTTAAGGGTATCTATTATGTTTAGTATATCACCTATGCACGTAGTTAATAAGTCAATATTGACTTTACGAATTTGCGAGAACGGGTTAATGATGACGTTAGTGTTCGCTCCCGGTTCTCGTTCAAACGTAATGGATATTTGAACATTTAATATCGTGTCAGCTTATTTCTGTTAAGTCAGGTTTTAGGGTAAGGTTGTATTAGGTAGGTTACAGTTGAGTTACGTAGGTTAGGGTTGTATTGGGTAGGTTACGGTTGCATTAGTTGGGTTAGGGTTCAGTTAAATATGTTAAAGTTGTATTAGGTAGGTTAGGGTTGAGATAGGTAAGTTTGGGTTGAATTAGGTAGGTTAGGGTTGTATTAGGTGAGTTAGGGTTGTATTATGTAGGTTAGGGTTGAGTTAGGGTTGTATTAGGTGAGTTAGGGTTGTATTATGTAGGTTAGGGCTGAGTTAGGCAAGTTAGGATTGTATTATGTAGGTTAGGGTTGCGTTAGGGTTGTATTTGGTAGGTAAGGGTTGAGTCAGGTAAGTTTGGGATGTATTAAGTAGGTTAGGGTTGAGTTAGGTGAGTTAGGATTGTATTAGATAGATTAGGGTTGTATTAGGTAGATTAGAATTGTATTAGGTAGGTAGGTTAGGGTTGACATAGGTGAGTTAGGGTTGCAGTGAGTTAGGGTTGTATTAGGTGAGTTAGGGTTGTATTAGGTGAGTTAGGGTTGTATTAGGTAGATTAGGGTTGTATTAGGTGAGTTAGGGTTGTATTAAGTGAGTTAGGGTTGTATTAGGTAGATTAGGGTTGTATTAGGTAGGTTAGGGTTGAGATAGGTGAGTTAGGGTTGTATTAGGTAGATTAGGGTTGAATTAGGTAGATTAGGGTTGTATTAGGTAGAAGAGGGTTGTATTAGGTGAGTTAGGGTTGTATTAGGTAGATTAGGGTTGTATTAGGTAGATTAGGGTTGTATTAGGTAGGTTAGGGAAGGGATGGG